TGTTTTTTTTTTATATCATAATCACAGATACAAGAGCAAGTTAGAGCCCTAAAACTGTAGGTTTAGGACTCAGCCACGAGAGGGCGCTGTGTCTCTTTCTGGTAATGAACACCAGTTGAAGAGAGAGCTCAGGGTTCTTTCTGTCTTGTGATTCTAGTTTGTTCTAGGGTTGTCTCTCAGTCTTTTAAAATCTGCACTCCTCCTCGGGCTTCGGGTGTCACCAATGACAGGGTATAGGCGACAGTTTACACACTTTTTCTTGTAGTCTGTGGGAGGCAGCTTGCCTGCAAGGCTCTTGGGGCTTCTCTGGGGAGTAGAGGGAGGACCCAGCAGTCACAAGTCATGACTCTATAGTTGCACTGTCGCAGGTCTCCAGCTGTCCCATTGCGTGACTGTTGCCAGGGCCACTCCACTTCTGTGAGTCAAAAGCATGTGTGCATGAGGACGAGCTCGCACACTCTACCGGGAAAGGCGCTTCCTGAGCGGAGTAAGAAGGATGAAAAAACACCACGCTTATTGTCTAGGGAGCACTCAGCAGCCGGTAGTTGTGCATAGCTTCCCAACCCAGCGGGAGCATGGTCTGGGCAGCTAAGGCCTGGCCCATTCCCAACCAGCATAGCATCTCTCATCGTCAGTACCCCACCCCGGTAGCACTGTGCCTGATAGCTAGAATTGTGAGCGCTTGCTTTTCCCCACCCAGCACCAGACCCCCAAAGCCCCTCCTCCTTCTGTGACTCCTTTCAGTGGCCTTCAGGGTTTTTTTTTTCTTTTTTTTCTGGCGTCTGGCCCAGAATTCTTCACACCCTCTGACTCACTTTCCTCCGGGCAGCACCTAAACCTTTTCTTCTTGGCCCTCACACAGAACTAAACCTTTGCCAACTCCTGTTCATTTTCTCCTTCTAGACATAGAAAGCTTCAGACCTGAGGAGCCTCAATTCTACTACCACTTCCCATCACTGTAACCGTGGGCCAATGCTGTCGTTTCTCAAATCTCTGCTTAGCCACTCAGTATATGTGTAACTGTGAGTAGGCGCCATATTATCCCTGAACCTCCACTTCCTCATTAATAAAATAAGGATGGGTCAGGTGGTGGTGGCGCTCGCCTTTAATCCCAGCACTCAGGAGGCATAGGCAGGAGGATCTCTGTGAGTTCGAGGCCAACCTGGTCTCCAAGAGCTAGTTCCAGGACAGCTAGGGCTGTTACACCGAGAAGCCCTGTCTCGAAAAAACCAAATAAAATAAAATAAGGACAACAGTGGCTGTTATACTCAGGGATGTTGGAAGGATTAAACGAGGAGATTCACATGAAGACCTTGGCATTTACAAGTGCCTAGGTTATTGGTTCTTCTAAAGCCATGCTAAGCCTCAGCTTCCCTAACTATCCATCCCTCGGAGATATATGAAAGTTTCATGTCAAATCTCCAAGCCTACTGCTTAGCAACGCTTCAAGAACTATCTGTGGTTCTGCCACGCCTCCCAGTCATTTTTGCACCTGAGCCCTTTGGGGTGCAAAAGAGTTGCCTTTTCTGTCACCCCCAGACTCTCAACTGGACCTCTGCGGTTAGAGTGAACAGTTTGTCACCTTTTCTCCTCAGTCTCTGGTAGTAAAAATTTGGGCCTTGAGACCGGAGAGATGTCTCAGTGGTTGAGAGCACAGTGGCTGCTCTTGATTGGAGTCAGATTCCGTGCACACAGAGTGACTCACAACTTGTCGGTACCTCCAGCTCCAGGGGATCTAATGCCCTCTTCAGGCCTCCTCAGTTACTGCAGCCTCATGGTGCATTGATATAAAAGTATGTAAAAATCCATACATATTAAAATTTTTATTATTAATTTCTTTTTCATATTATATATTTTTATAATATTAATTCCCCTCTCCCAACAACTCCTCCTAGCTGTTCTCCACCTGTATTTTTTTTTTGTTTTTGGTTTTTCGAGACAGAGTTTCTCTGTAGCTTTGGAGCCTGTCCTGGAACTAGCTCTTGGAGACCAGGCTGGCCTCGAACTCACAGAGACCCACCTGCCTCTGCCTCCTGAGTGCTGGGATTAAAGGCGTGCGCCACCACTGCCTGGCCTCCACCTGTCTTTTTTTTACATCTCCCCATTCACTTTGTTTTTATACACGGCATCCTTCGTTGTTTTAATCTCTCTGGGTCCTGGCATTTGTTGAACCATTGTCCATATTTCAAGGCCCAACCCAAATACAGCCTCACCTTCCCCAAATGTTGTTACCCAGTAGGGGACAATCCATGCTGGGGTGATGGTAGATGGAGCACTAAGGGTGGAACAAGCAGAAGGCACTAGACATCCTCTGGGATTGTGTGGACATTTTCCCCGGGGTCAAGGAGGTGGCATAGAGTTGCTAGAAAGTGGGGATCACTGGCTCTGCCTAGTTAGAACAGAAAATTCCAGTCACTAGGCAACTGTGCAGGGGGAGAAGGATTGGAAGCCATATCAGGACACGAGCCTGGGAGGAACATAAGACAAAATGTCAGTCTAGTAAATGGCATGTGAGGAGGGGGGGGGGAGGGGGACGAGGGAGAAGTGCTCCCTCGGAGTTGAGAATTACTATTCCACGGGATTTAGGGTCTTTAAGCCCATGAGGATTTAAGGATTTGTAATTCTATGCTATATAATACCTTAAAAGCAAGGATATTGGGATTCCAAGGATTTTAAAGCCCTATAACCTATGGTAGAAGAAGAACTTAGGCAATTTATGAGCTATGCAATGCTAGGAGCTTAGGACTCAAAACAAGGGCTTTAAGCGAAACATTGGACATGTGAAATTACTAATTAATCTCCTTGGGTTTCAAATCATTCTTGACTTAACTCTTGGGTCAGTGTTTCCAAATTGTCTCCCCACAGTCTGGGGATCCTTGAAGGTGTTTCTCACAGAGAGAGTCAACTTACAAGAGATAGTACCACTCAGGGAGGGGGCTTCTGCCACCCCACCTCACAGTCCAACTTTTGGCTTCCCTGGGGCAGCTCTATTTTTATCTGATTTACATGCTAGTCTTTTGCGTTCAATTTAGATGAAAGGGTTTCTTGGTAAAGACTATGAAGTTTTAAAACCTCTGTCCCAGGATAAAGGAACCTCAGACCTAGAGACCACTTGAATGTAGAGTGGTCCAGCAAGTCACAGCAGGCCTTTCTTGTGTCTTCATTGTCTATAAACGCTGCCATCTTTGCTTTGGCTGGTGAGACATCAAATGCTGACAAAGGTTAACCAAAGAGACCTGAGACATACTCATTAGTTCAGTAAGTCAGTCACCATCACACTCCAGTCTGGAAACCAATCTCGTTTATACTATCAGCAATTTCTAGTTACACATGCTATCCCTGTGAACAGCTCTGTCTTATGAGCAGTCGTCCGATGTGCCAGGGCCAGTGCTGTTTCTTCGTTCCCTCTCACGTAATCGGCACAGCCATGCTGACAAAAACTCTCACCCGTCTCTTCATCACGATACACAGAGAAAGAGAATGGAGCTCAGGGTGAAGAAGCAACTCACCCAGGTTCATGCATCAAGCTCCCGGGAGATTCTGCTTCACTTACCAGACGAAAGAAAATGGGCCAAAGGAATTGAAGGGGTCAAAGTTCAACTGCCGGCTAGCCTTCTTCCAAGAGCAAGGTTCAATTTTAACCGATAGATGGAAGCCTGTCCATCCCATTTAGGGAAGTCCCAACTAGGGCTCAGAACGGGAGCAACTATCTTAGGTTGAGAGGGAAGGGCAAGGGAAGGAGGCACCATTTTGCTTTTCAATAAGATGCCCTCACAGTTAAGGTAAGATTTGAGAAAGTAGGCAAGTTGATCAACAGTGCTTCTCCTGAGAACTGCTTTGAGAACACCTGGGTGATTTTCCTTTATGATATTCTGAGCCATCTTGTTGTGAGGGGTGCTAGGCTACAAAGTTGCATGGGATAGCAAACGCAAGTTCCTGCAAAGGCAAGGAGAAGGCAGGCGCTGTCACAGATGAGACCTTGGGCGTGTGAGGATATCCATCCTGGACTTGGGGGCGTGGAGATGCCCCCCCCAAAGGTAATGTAAAGCACTTCTGTTGAATGAATCAGAGCTTAAAAGGCTCAGGAGAGTGGAAACCCATCTCAGGCAGGAGCTTAAAGCCACAGAAGAGCTAGAAAGCATGCTACATTCAAGGGCAAATGAAACAAATTTTTAAGGGCAGAGAGATGAATTTAAAATGATAGTCAGAAGTTGGATGACTAGCACCAGGCATTGGGGCAGACACCTGTAACCCCAGCAGTGGAGAGTTAAGACAGGAGGATGGCTGTCTTAACAGCAATAGTACCAGAACAGCTAGGGATACATACCAAGACCTTGTCTCTAAAAAAAAAAAAAAAAAAAAAAAAAAAAAAAGCCACAAACAAACAAACACACACAAAAGCAGATGATTAAAGAATCCAGAATACCACAGTAAAGACTTGGTTCATGAATGTATAGTGTTGGATGTCCACATGTGTTTTCCTAAAAAGTTGTACTGCCTCATGATAATCCGTCACCACATCCAGTCCCCCCAAAAAAGAACCAACCATAAGTCTAGCTGTTGGTGAGGCTAGACCATGACCTGATTTGGTGGCCCGTGTGCAGACAGATTGTGAAACAAAATGCTGGAAGTAGGAAAATTCGTTGAAGAGGAATTGGGATAGAAGTAAACATGAAGGCCCAAGCTATGGTTGCTACTGAGGGAACCAAAGAGATACAATTGACAGTATTTAGTGGGTGCCCAAGCGTTCCTCCTCATTTGACAGCGGCCCCCAATGACTAAGTGAGAAAATGCATCTCACCTTTACCCCAGCCCTCACCTCATCCTCTGATTTCATAAGTGAACAGAGAGGCCTGGCATTTTGAGGCTCTGTCTCCAACATGACATTCTCCAAGGAGAAAAATCTTTTGGCTGACCTCAGGTAGAGCAACAAACTGACCTCCACCTGTGACTTCAAAACATGGGCAGAGTTCAGTTAAGAAATCAGCACAATTCCAAGAAAAAGGCAAACATCATTCCATTTATTTTTCTCCTGATTCATCTTATGCCAATACCCAGACTGAATGAATAGCAGGCAACGAGGATGCAGGTCCCCAGACAAGCAGATTCTCAAGATGCCTTCTTCTGTTCCCTTCCCTTCCCTCAAGGGGCTCCAGTATTGCTTGGATCTGGTGATGGGATCTCTGGAGAAGAAGCTGGAGGCCAGCCTCGCTCCCCTCGAGACTGGTTCATATGGCTGCTACCTTCAAAAATTGGGGGATCAAACGGCCCTGGAGGAGTGACTGCTTTCTTGTCCAAGGGCATCCCTTGCCCTGCTCTACTTGCTGAGGCCTTCAGCAATCAAGTCTTCCTAATCCCCTTCCGGGTCTTAGGAACCTCCTACTGTTGGCACAAGAGCAGCTCAGACAAGAACATGCCAGAGGCCTAACCTTGTAAGCCCATCAGAAAAGCCAGGGTGTGCTAGACAGCCTGAGGACACTGGTTTTTGGTCCAGAAAATTTGTGTCTGGAGACTCTTTGCTAATGGATGCCCTTGGAAACCTGCCAAGTGTAACTAGGATTGCTTCAGTTTGGACAGGTCAGGGGTGGGTCAGCGGAATGAGCTGTGGCCTTGTGTGGTGTGGCCTCTGGTGCCCTCGCACACCCTTCTGGCCCTATTTCATTGACCTCTTCCTCTACATTCTTCTCCTTGTCCTCTCCATCTTCCTCACTGTCAGAATCCTCATACAAGTTGATGGTGGCCTGGACGGGGAAATTCTGTAGTAGCATCTCCCCAGCACTGTACAGGTAGTCAAAGGAGCGGGATCTCGGCCAGAAGAGCCTGCAGGCAAAGGAGAAACAGGGCGCCTAACTTAGGCAACTCTCAGATGTAGAGGGACCAGTAGGGGCAAGAAGGAAGAAGACCCTTAGAGCTGCTTGCTAGCTTCAGGAAGGGTCTTAGAGGGAAAGGAAGAAGTAACTCTGGCTCGGAATATTTGCAACTGTTACAAAATGGTTCCAGGAAGGAATGTCACCTCTGACAGACCTAGAACTGTGGCAGAGGGTGAGCCACCTCAGCGTCTCTCGGTTCTAGCGCTGACATCACTCACCACTCCAGCCCTTCTTTTCCTATTAAGGAAGAATTCTGTGATTGCTCAGGGTCCCAGGATTTTACCCTTAGGTCTCAGTGACGGGGAAGTCCTCTGGGGCAAGTCACTTTGGCCTCCTTTCATGGTCTCTTTCCTCCTGAGTCATGGCTTCGTCAGGAGCAGGCACAGTGCTCGGGGCTGTTTGTCACATTCTGAACTCGAACACCAGAGGCTTACCTGACAGGGTGACGGAACCCAGCCTCGGCCTTGGTGACCTCCGCAGCTGTTGCCCCAGCAGCAGCCTGTCCAAAGCAAAAGCTAGTATGTGGTTAAAGTGCCTCTCCCCCATCGAGGGGCAGAGATCTGCCAGTTCGGACAAACTGCAAAAGACTCTAGGCATCTCTTGAGATCAGTCACCTCCCAGCCCGGCCCTGCAGCAAGGGGGTCAGTCTTAGATCTTGGTAAAACGTAAGCAGAGTTGTGGGGCTGGTTTTCTTCCCTGTCCCTGTTCCCGGGCCTGTTTGGAGGCTGTCCAGGGGACAGAGTTCCCTTAGAGGACAAAACATTCACGGAGCAGCGTGGGAGAGCAGGGGGGCAAGGGATCGAGAGACCGGAGTCCAGCATCAGTGAGGAGTCCAGCCCCGGTCCCTTACCCACTCGAAGCTTTGCTCTCCCAATCTCGTTTGTTGTGGAAACCTTGGCCCTGCCCTCCTCCCAGAGCTGCAGTGGCGATAGAATGTTAACAGAGTGGGCATGGTGCTGCCCCAGATGAGCAGCTTTGGAATGCAGGCAGGTGACGTCTGAGAAGGGATATGGCTGTAAGGCTCATGTAAATATGTCACGGGGTTTCAAACTCACCGAGTCCACCGGCATCCTCACCTGCCTCGGTTGGTCATTGGCGGAGGGCAGCCAGGGTCTCCAAAGACGTGTTTCTCTAGAGCAAACAGAAAAGATCAATTGGTAGAGAAAGAGGCCTAAATGTAGGCTTCCTCTGGTCACAGAAGTGGCCTCCTAAAAGCTTAGCTCAAGCCATCTGCTCCAGAACACCTTTTGTCCCTTGACTACTAAATCAGTACTCCTATCCCACAGTTCTATTATTGTCTGCCTGCGCCCCTTAGGCTGGAACATATGTATGGGTATGTCTGAAACCTCAATCCCTACTAGGATGCCCCGTACACAGGAGGGACTTAAAGTGTTTTGACTATGAATGTGAAATGTGTGGAGGAGAGAACACCCATTTGATGGGGAGTATCTTGCTACCCTACTTCCTGCACCAAGTAGTAGTGCACAGAATTGTGCTGTTTTCCTAGCTGGAGAAAAGACCCAGAATAGTCCTGGGCCCATTGCTTCTTCTCTAGACTTCTAGAGACAAGGAAAAGGAAATACGAAACGTGTGGCATGCAAAGGACATGAGGCAGCACCCCAACCAAAGGCCTCTTTAGACTTTGTCCCTTTCACCTTATGTCACCTGCCACCATCTAGGTCCCAAAGTCCAGGCTGCACTAAGCCCAATTTCCACGGCAACTTCTCCTGTTCCCTCAGGGAATTGTAGACTAACCCATGAGGATCAGGCTACTTGGCTTTCTGCTTTGGCAATGTCCACTGTCTCTCAGCCCACTCTTGTCACCTGGAGTGATGAGTGAGTCCAGCTGAAGGTATAGAGGAAGGTTTGAGGCTCTTTGGTGTCTCCCCCTTCAAAGAGAACAGGGCCAGCACCATCGGGGCCGTCCTAACTTCTCCCAGCTTTATCTCCCTACGCCTGAGTTCAGGCTGTCAAAGGCCAAGCTCCACTTACCTTTCATTCCCAGAAGCTTCTCGTCCACCGATTTGTGCCTGGACGGGGGCTTGGGCCGGGGCCAGGCCAGGGGGAGCAACAGCAGGAGCAGCAGGATCCATCCTTGGGACACCAAGCCAGGCGACTGTGACTCTTCCAGTTCTCGGAACCTTCTGCGCGCTCCTTTGCCTTTTCCCCCAGAGACCCTTTTATAAGGCCCGCCTTGACTCATCAGTTATTCAGGCGGAGCAGGGGGTGGGGGAATGTGGGCAGGTTGTGAAAATTTAGGGAGGGGGCTCGTGGAGAGAGAGCTACGTTCTTGGGTGTGAAATCTCTCCCAGTTCAATAAACAGGGTCCAGGTGAAGGTGAGGGGTCTGCTTAGCTCCAAGGCAGAAAGGAAAACAAAGAAGGGGCAAATTTCACACCATTTGTGTTATTTCCCCAGGCAGCATCAAGGCCCCAGGTGGGAAGGAGGGGTGCTCATTAGCACCCAAAGGCACCCAGGCTCGGCTGGGACAGGGGGCTGAATACTTGGGCCTTTTAGCAAAGTTGGGTCCCAGTGAGAAAAGAAGGCTGCCAGCTCTAAGGAGAGTGAAGGACTCACCCGGTATTTCAGCTCAAATCCCAAGTAGATTTGCCAGGTGGACCTGATACAGGGTCACTGCCATGAAGCCTGCCACGTGGCTTCAGATAAAGAGGGGTTCTGGGGGGAGGAGGTCCAATCTCTTGCAGAGTGGACCCCAAGTCACCTTTCAATGCCTCCCCACACCCCTCCTCACTGCTCAGTTGACTTGCAAGAGTGTTTAAAGCCCCTCTCTGGCCTCAGCAGAAAGCTGTGTGGTGTGGGGAGCAGGCCCGGGGAGTTTGCAGGGCAGATTCCAAATGGCACAGCTCAGCTTCTGGTTTGGGAGCCCAGGTGCTGGAGACTGGGAGGGTTTCTGCCCAGCACTGTGCCGCCAAAGGACCATCCCAGGCCTCAGTCCTCTCACGTGAGATGCGGCTGCTGGTCCCCAAGGACCTGCCAGCCTGAGCACTCTGTGACAAGAGCTGGGGAATGAATACTGACCCCAGCAAGCCAAAAGGTTGGAGCAGAGCGCTTGGTGTTCGCCACCTTCTGGGCCTTAGCCAAAAAGCTTCCAGTTACACCAACTGGCAGGCACTTTATGCTTAGAGGTTTCAAAAATATTCCTCCTGACCTCAGTGGCCAGCACCTGCCTAGATTTAGTGTCTTGGATGTTCATCACAGCCTGGTTTGTAATGTTCAAAAATTAGAAACAACCTCAGTGTCCAATTATAGGAAACCCGTTAGTTTTATTAATTGTAGTCAATCCTTGTAATCACACACTAAGCAGACAGTCAAAATCGGGGTACCAATGCAGCGAATTGGGAAAGGCAGATGCTAAAGAGTATGACTCAGCTCCCACCTCCAAGCCCTCGGAATTCCAGCCACACTGTGATCTGCACAGAAAAAAGAAAAAAAAAAAAAAAAAAGTCCGGTCCAGAGCTGAGGATACGGCTTAGTGGTGGAGCATGGCCACAGCAGGGTTTGACCCCTACTCCAGAAGAGCAATGAAGAAAACAACTCCATATGAAGAAGACTGCCTTGGTGGAAGACTCTGTAAACAGCTAATGAGGTCAAGAGTGAACTACGTAAGTTTCGAAAACGTCACTCAGGATGATCCCATTGTGATAAGGTAACTTTCTGGAATGTAGAGTATGCACAGAAAAAAACTAGGCCAGGTAGAAGGAGAGATGCTGCCGCTGTCGGCTCAGGGAGGAAGAGAGCAAGGTGGGGGCGTTCCTTTCTTCTTTTTGATGTTGTGGTGTTTGGAAGCAATTTCCACAGCTGATCTGATATTGTTTGGCAAACAAAAAGTAAAAAACACAGACACAAAGTTGAGTGGGTATGGATTGGGGACGGATCTGGAAGAGGATGAGGGGCTGAAAAATATGATGTATGGAATTCTCAAGAGCACAAGCAAGGAACTCAGGACCGCGAGGGGTGCACCCATACAATGAGACAATGGGGATGTTCTATCGGGAACTCACCAAGGCCAGCTGGCCTGGGTCTGAAAAAGCCTGGGTAAAAACCGGTCTAGCTGAACATAGAAGACAAAGAGGACTACTGAGACAACAAGAACAATAGCAAAGGGTTTTTGATACTACTGAACCTATTGGTTTCGTGGGAGCCTAGGCAGTTTCGTGGATGCTCACCTTACTAGACCTGGATGGAGGTGGGTGGTCCTTGGACTTCCCACAGGGCAGGGAACCCTGATTGCTCTTTGGGCTGACGAGGGAGGGGGACTTGATTGGGGGAGGGGAAGGGAAAGGGGAGGCAGCGGTAGGGAAGAGACAGAAATCTTTAATAAATAAATAAAAAAATTTTTAAAAAAATTAAAAAAAAATATTGAGCCAGGTGCTGGTGGTACAAGCCTTTAATCCCAGCACTCTGGAGGCAGAGGTGAGTGGATCTCTGTGAGGCCAGGAGGCGAGCCTGGTCTACAAGAGCTAGTTCCAGGACAGCCAAGGGGCTGTTACACAGAGAAGCCCTGTCTCGGAAAAAAGAATGTGTGTGTATGTATGTGAACATACATATGTCTTTATGTGAACAACTAATTTATAAAATTGTACATATTTTTAAAATATAAACAAAGAAGAAACATTTATCTGTGAAGCAGAGAAAACTCTTAGAGAGATGGCAGCCATTTTGAAATACCTGAGGTTTAGACTGAAGTGAGTTCTACTTTTCTGTGCGACTTCCAAGGCCAAGCTAGAGAGAGGCCCCAGGAAGGCAGCTACAGGAAGACTCATTTTGGCTCAATCAAAGGAAAAGTTTCTAATGGCTCAACCACCTAAAGGCCTGGCACTGTACCTGCTGTCCCCAAACAGAGGTTTATTTTATGAGATGCATGGAGTCCTGTGGGATGTGCTACCTCAAACTGGAGTAAGCTCTCTGATGCTGAACTTTGTTAAGTGGGAGCTGGAGGCTGTATCCTCAACGGGGGTGGGGGGTGGGGGGGGTGGGGGTGAGGATCCTGTAGAAATTTGCTCAAAGGAGGGAGAAGGAACCAGGAAAAGGAACAAAGCCAAAAGGACTGGGCCGAAAAGAGACAGCATGCAAAGTGAACAGAACCCAGGTTATATTATCACACCCTCGAATCACAATGACCTCTGACAAAAGCAGGAGGTCAGAAGGAAAGGGGGAGGACACACACTTCTCTGGAGATCCCAGGTCACGCTCAACCCGACTTAGTCATATCACCCACCATGCCACCTTTGACCTTGAAACTTTATTCCTCCAGCCACTTCCTTCTCACCAAAGCAGGCCTCACAGGATGCCTGTACTCAGCTTCCAGCTATGCTCCTGACTCTGTGGCAGCCTTCAGTCCTGTCTCTGCAACTCTTAGTTCTCCCTATACAAATGTTGCCTCCTAAGACGCAGCTTAGCATCACCCAGCCATGGAGGAGATGAAGGCATTGGCCTCCGTTGTGGGATAAAGGCCTGTTGCTGAGCCAAAATATCAGGGCCTGCCCATTCTCTCTAGTACCTAGTACATGTTCAAACAGATAGCAGGAAAGACCAGGATAATCCAAACAAGGGAAGTTCCAATCAAAGCAATTAAGATAACAACTAATTTCTCTATCAATTATAGTGTGCAAGGGTTATCCCTGACTGTCCGGACTTTTCTGAGAGGAGTTAGGCCCAGTCTCTGGGCCAGACACTTCATTAGGCCCTGCTTGGCATGAAGATGGGCTAGAATGAGGAAGGTGCTGTGGCTCCTGCCCCAAGGTGCTCACAGCTTAGAGGGTGGAGGAAGACAGGCTTAATTAGCCTCTGCCAAACTGGAACCCCTCCACCAACCTCAGACAGGTTCCCCTGTCAAGGCCTCAGAGCAGCCTCCACGTTTCTCTGGGCCTCATTCCAAATTTCCTTCAGTTCCCTACCATGTTCCTGCCGCACCCTTCTCCCTCCTACTTCCCTGAGAAAACAGAGGCCTTCAAGCATGGGTTACCTCAGTGCCCTGCCCCAACCCCCAAAGTGGGTTTGCCTCGCCAATGTCTTTTCCCACCCTCCACCCTAACAAGGGACAAGGTGCTCCTTTTGTTAAAGGCTAATCTTCCCTGCCCCCCCCCCCCCCCCCCCCCCCCCCCCCCCCCCCCCCCCCCCCCCCCCCCCCCCCCCCCCCCCCCCCCCCCCCCCCCCCCCCCCCCCCCCNCCCCCCCCCCCCCCCCCCCCCCCCCCCCCGCCATGGCCTGGCCTCATCCACCGTCTTCTGGGCCCTCTCTCCAGGACAATATCCTCTTTCCCTTCAGGAATACTCCACTTCCCTACACAAGAGTGTAAAATGTCTGTTGCTGCGACTCACCCCTGTTCTCTCTCCATCACTTCCTTTCTCTTCCTGCCTCCTTATCACCCTCTTTTCTTTTCTTTCCGTGGCTCTCAAGTGTGTTGAAAGGAGAGCCTAACTTCTAGGCTTTCCTCAGCTTCCCAGTCACACCTCAGCCAATGGCAATTTGGCTCCAGTTCCATCATCCCAGTGAAGAGGCCCCGACAAAGGTCACCAATGACCTCTTAATTGGCAAATCTGATGAAATCTCTGAACTGTAGCTCCTCTTTTTAGTCCATCCCCTTGCTATGCAATGCCCAGCAATAGCCACTGTTAGACAAGCAAATCCATCTTCCTCTTTTGACCTCCATGACCAACCACACCCCCTTCTTTCTCTCACTCCCTCATCCCCTCTTCTCCTTCCTCTCTGCCATCTCTCTCCTGGAAATTGAACCTCAGTTCTTCTCTTCTTATTGTTTTGGAATTTTTGAGTCAGGCTCTTTCTCTCATAGCCCATACCAGCCTAGAACTCCGGTTCCTTCTGCTTCTGCTTCCACTTCCTGCGCTGATTCTGGGCATGCTCCAGCCGGACTGGATCAACCTTTGAAGCTGACCACTCTTTCTCCACTCAGTGGCCCTCAGATCCCTATAATACCATGATGCTTCCAACGGGTCAGAGCAAACTTCACGAGGAGAAATTTCACCAGGAGAATTTCTCAACAGTTTAAAGTTACTGAATTCCAAACAACTGGCCTTCATTCGAAGATTCTATCCTTCCCAGTTTGGGGTGATAAGCGGATCCCTTTTTCAAAGTGAAGGTTATCGTGAATGCTAATTTATTTCGTTACTGTTCACGCTTGGCAGAGGGAAACATTAATTGCTCAGAATTGATTTTATAAATATTTATAGGCTGAGTGAAAGAGCAAGAGCCATATTTCTAGCCTGGAATTTTCCCAGTGGGCATCTCAAATTCATTCCAAAGTTGAACAATTCTTCTCCCCCAACAAACCTCCTGCATACCCACCTTACAGTCAGCATCATATTGAGCCAGTCACTCCATCTAAAATTCTCCACCTCTGTGTGTTGTCAGTTTTGTTCCTTGTTCTCCTTCACTATCGTCTCCCCCAGCACATCCATTCGTTGTGTGATGGCTCCCCCTGTCTAGTCTCACCTGGACGGTGGTTTACTATAAAAGGAGCTGTGGTTTTTGCATTGTAGAAATTTGCCATTTGATGTTAGAGTAATACATTATTTTTTTTCTTTTTTCCTTCTTTTTGGGGATTTTTTTTGAGATAGGGTTTTTCTGTGTAGCCCTGGCTGTCCTGAAACTCACTCTGTAGACCAGGCTGGCCTTGAACTCAAAACATCTGCCTGCTCTGCCTCCCTGAGTGCTGGGATTAAAGGCGTGCATCATCACTGCCCAGTTGACTAATTCATTCTTAAATAAGTGTGGTTATGTCATATACCATTTTAACGTGCATTCTTTCTCTATGTCCTTTTGTTGATGACTTATTACTTGTTATCTATTTTTATTTTTATTTTTGAGACAGGGTTTCTGTGCATGTAGCCTTGGCTGTCCTGGAACTCACTCTGTACACCAGACTGGCCTCAAACTCACAAAGATCTGTGTGTTTCTGCCTCCCAAGTTCTGGGATTAAAGACATGTGCCACCATGACCAGCTATTTGTTTATTTCTATTAAAATTTATTTATTTTTATTTTATGTGTATGTTGCCTGCATGTCGTCAGCCAGTGCCTCACATGCATGCAGTGCCCATTGCGGCCAGAAAAGGGCGTCAGATTCCCTGGAAGTGAAGTTATAGATGGTTGTGAGCTGTCACGTGGGCACTGGGATTGAACTTGGGTCTTCTGGAAGAACAATCTGTGCTCTTCCACTGACTCATCTCTATAAAGCCTTTCCTTGGTACTTATTTTATGTTTATCTTATACTCTACAAATGGTGTTAGACAAAAAGCAAATTTTAGTGATTTTTCTTAGACAACTTCAAAATAATTGTAAAGGAGCAAAGGCGACTCATAACATAATCAACACATTTAGCCTAGGAATGGCTAAGAAACATGTGGTGCAGTGGTGGTTCCAGAAGTTTTACAGAGAGCAGACAAGAACTTTGAAGATGTACATGATGGTTGGCTACCAGAAGCTGCCAACAACTAATCAGAGCCGATCCTGTTCTAACTACAGTAGACATTGCCAAAGAATTCATCATGGACTGTTTAATAGCCACTCAGAAGAGGAAGAAAATGGGAAGAGTGTAAATACTCAATGAGTGGATGTCTAAAATATATTTGAAATAATCAATCTTGACTATCATCTTCCCTTATTATTCTAGTCAACAGCAATAAACCATTTTTCAACTGGCTTTGTGATGGACAATAATCTTGGTGATTGGAGTGATAAGTTTGAAACTTCTTCCCCAAACCAAACTTGTACCAGAAACTGAGCCATAAGCACTGTTGGGTGGTGTGATACCTGCCAGATGCTGTACAACTATCTGGCCCTCTCGTGAAGCCATTACATCTGAGCAGTGTGCTCAGCACAGTGATGAGATGAACCCAAGACTACAATGTGTGCAGCCAGTATCGTCCGAAGAAAGGGTCTAGTTCTTCACAACAATACCTGAAGCCATGTAACGCAATCAAAGCTTAAAGGAGGCATGGATGGAGGAGGGGTATTGACATGGGT